CCAATCTTCACCCGACTTCATGTGAGCGTATTCGAACGATTTGGACCAGACTCTTTCACTGTGCTTCGAGAACTCGACGAGAGCGATCGATCCGTCCAAAAATCAGCCGAATCGACTTTGATTTGACCGAGCTAGAGAATTCTCAAGTTTGGTGGGGACCCCCCAAACCAGTGGTTGGTTTCGGCACAGGTTCCCGGCCGCGGGCGGCATCGTCGCGCTGGACTCCGAGTACGTCTCCGTCGAGTCGGCGGACACTTCCGTGAGGCGCGACGGGTCCCGCGTGACGACGTCCCTGGGCCGCATGTCGCTCGCGCGGCTGTCCGTCGTCGACGGCGACGAACGCGTGCTCTTCGACGACTACGTCCTGCAGACGGAGACCGTCGTCGACTACAACACGCGCTTCTCGGGCGTCGCGGCGGAGGACCTGGACCCGGCCACCTCCAAACACGACCTGTACCGCCGCGCGGTCGTCTGCATGAAGCTGCGGCGCCTCGTCGACGCGGGCTGCGTGCTGGTGGGCCACAGCCTCCAGAGCGACTTCCGGGTCATGAACGTCGCGGTGCCCCCGGACCAGGTCATCGACACGGCCCAGCTCTTCAGCCGGCCGGGCGAGCGCAAGATCTCGCTCCGGTTTCTGTGTTCCTACCTGCTGGACCACGTGATCCAGGACGACAACCACGACTCCGTCGAGGACGCGCGCGCCGCGCTCCGGCTCTACCGGCTCTACCAGAAACTCAAGGCCGAGGGCACGCTCCGCGAGACGCTGGGCCGCGTCTACGACCACGGCCGCAAGACGGAGTGGACCATCGTCGCGCCCAAGGCCGAGCTCCGCGCGGACGCCGCGGCGTTCGGCGCGGACGGCGACGCCGCGGACGCGCCGCCGGACGTGGCGGGCCTCACCGTGAGCGCGCCGCCGGACGAGCCCCAGCCGCCGGGCACCGCCGCCCCGCCGTCCTAAAATTCACGCACTCGTCTTAGTGGGTTTTCAAATCGTGGTCCGCGGCGTTCCAGGTCCGGGGGACGTCCGTGGGAAGATCCCAAGCGTCCACGTTCGGGTCGTAATAGCCAGAGCCAGTACCCGTCTCGGCACCCGCCTTGGCTAGATCCGCGGCGAACTGCGCGAGCAAGTCGATGGCCCGGGGTTCGCCCCTGGCGGCTGCCCGCCGGAGCCAGTGCACGCATTTGTTCGGGTCTGGTTCGACGCCGATTCCAGCGGCGTAGCGGCGACCGAGCTCAAATTCGGCAGGGGCTAAGCCTTGTCGTGCGCTAAGCTCAAAGAGACGGAACGCCTCGTCGACTTTCCCATTGATATGCAGCTGCACTCCGATATTCAATTGCGCATACGCGTGGCCCCGATCCGAGGCCATGGACCAGAGTTGCAGCGCCTTCTTCTTATCAATCTTGACACCGTTTCCTTCTTTATACAAAGCCCCAAGCGTCGACATTGCGTCTGCGTTCCCCAATTCCACGGCACGTTTAAAGATTTTGGCCGCCTTTTTCGTATTTTTCTGGAGGCCGTAGCGACCGACCATGTAAAACGAGCCCAAAACGTAGATCGCTTCCGGAACTTCGTTCTCCACGTGGCGACGCAAGAGGGCCAAACTCTCCTGGTCAGATCTCGGGTCCTTTACGAGACAGAGAGGACAAGGCTTTCCGGTAATCTTGGCTTTGCACGAGTCGCAGACCTTCCGGCAGCAACAGAATTGAAGCGAACCCGCGACGTTCATGTCCCACTCCTCAAGGCAGATCGGACACCGGTTCCCGAGCCGCGCCGACAACGGCTCCGGCTCCGGGTTCGCCTCGCGCCGCAAACGCGCGGCCTCGTGTTCCGCCGCGATGCGCGCGCGGACCTCGTCGGCGTGCGACCGCGGCGCGGGGCCGTAGACGACCTCCTTCGGGGGCGACGGCGGGGGCGTCGGCGCCTCCGCCCGCGCCGCCTCGGCCGCGCGCTCGGACCGGATCTTCTTGCACGCCTTCCGGTGGCCGCGGTCGCGCCAGTCGATTCGTTGGCACTCGGTAGAGCAATATTGCGTTGTTCCGCACGGACAATTCAGCAAAGTCTTCGGTTTCGCTCCACAAATTGTGCAGGTGAGGCGGAGCCGGAACTCTTTCGCTCGGGCCTTCTTTCGCTCGTATTCTAACTTCTTCTTGATCAGCTCCGGGTCCATAATTTCGAGCGTGCGACACTGCGAGGCTCTTGAGTACTCGAGTAGTGTGTCGGGAAGTCTTACGGACACAGGGGGCGCGTCCACAGTCTCGCGGAAGCGTTTACAAGGCTAGTCGTTTATGAACAAGGTCGTTCACGGACAAGGCGCCGATCGTCGCAGTGGCGGCGGACTTGCTCGACACCGCGAGCTCGCCACAAAGTCGCAATCGCCAGCCTCGAGCCCTAAGACTAATAAGAGCCCATATTACAGCATCCCAGTGCGTCTCGGCTAGATCCGAGGAGGAGCGCGGGGGCGACGAGTAATTGTTGCCCCCCCTCGCACCGACATGGGTCTGGGTCTCGGCGCTGAGAGCCTCAGGCCGCCCCCCCCTTTTTCGCGGCTTGCGCGGCCCGGCGGCGGCGGCGGCGGCGGAGGCTTACCTTGCTCTTGCCCTTGTCCTCGAGGGCCGCGAGGGCAGATTTGGCCGCCTCAGTATCAGAACGCGCGTACCAGCGTTTTGCCTCGTCGATATCCAGGTCCACGCCGCCTAGTCCCCCCTCGTAGTAGGTGCCGACGGCAAATACGGCCAGCGCAAAGCCCTGGTCCGCGCTCAGCTTGAATTGGCGAAATGCGCCCACGTGATCGTTTTCGTCGTGCAACTGAGTTGCCCAAGTATACTGGTGCTCCGCCTCCTTCATGGTGTCGATTGCTTTTTCAAAGCCCTTTGCCGCCGCGCGCACGATCCAGCGCGTAGATTCTTGCAAGCATTTCTCAGTCCCGAAACCGAGGCAACACCTCAGCCCCATCAAATATTCCGATTCGGTGTGACCCTGCTGTGCCGCCATCATGTTGTAGCGGAAGGTTTCCTCCTTTCGACCATTGTTTACCAAGAACTTCATGTAGAGATTCTGCGCGTCCGCAAGACCCCGATCAGCGGCTACGCGATACAGCTCGTCCGCCTTCTTTGCGTCCTGCTCGACTCCGTATCCATGTTCGTACATGTGCCCAAGTCTCAATGTTGCGTCCACGCTCTCGAGCTCCACGGCGCGCTTGAAAAGCCTTGCCGCCTTTGCGCTCGATTTCACGAGGCCGAAATCACCATTGCGGTACGCCCTTCCCAAACGAGCAATCGCCTCCGGCACATCGCTTTCCGCGTGATGCTTAAGCCGCGCCAGACTCTCAGCGTCGCTTTTAGAGGGTGGTTCGCGACAGAGAGGACACGGTCCGTCTCGAACCTTGACAGCGCACGACCTGCAGATCTTCCGGCAGCAACAGACGCGAAGCACGTTCACCCCATTCACGTCCCAGTCCTCGAAGCAGACCGGGCACCGCGATCCAAACCGCGCCGACTCCGGTTCCGGCTCCGGGTTCGCCTCGCGTCGCACGCGAGCGGCCTCGTGTTCGGCGGCGATGCGCGCGCGGACCTCGTCGGCGTGCGACCGCGGCGCGGGGCCGTAGAAGACCTCCTTCGGGGGCGTCGGCGCCTCTGCCCGCGCCGCCTCCGCCGCCCGATCATCCCGAATCTTCTTGCACGCCGTCCGGTGGCCGCGGTCGCGCCAGTCGATGCGTTGGCAGGCGACTGTACAATATTGAGCCGTGCCGCAGGGGCATGGGAGCTTCGCTTTCGCCGAGCAAATTGTGCAGAGCGTGCGGAGCTTCGCGTTCTTCGCCCGGGCCATTCGCTCTTCATACTCCCGCTTTTTCACCATCCACTCAGGCTCCTTCATCTCGTCGCGATCGTCTCCCGAGGCCATCGTCTCGACGGGTCTCGCCTCGCCTTGCTCGCCAACCTGGAGCCCCTAAGCCATATTACAGCAGCGACGACCCCGACACGGTCCCCCGGTTCATGGGCCCCGGCGCCGTGAGCTGCTTCCGGAGCTGGGGCTTCTGCTTCTTGTTGCCCATGTGTCGGCGCATGTTCTTCGCGGCGGACGTCTGGCGCTGCGCGAGCGTCATGCGGACCGCGTGGCCGACCTTGGCGAACTTGCCCTTGGGGCTCACGCGGACCTCCGGCGGCCGGATCGTCGGGTTCTCGTTCTCGTCGGCGGGGAAGGTCTTGGACCCCTCGTGCTGGACGGACGCGACGGGCGACGGCACGTCCGCGAAGCGGCTCGGGTCGACGTCGTGGAGCGGCGCGGCGTGCGGCGGCGGCGCGGCGCGGTCGTGGGGCGCGGCGTGCGGGTGGTGGAGCGCGGCGGCGAAGGCCTGGTGCGCCGTCGTCAGCGTCCGCGAGTCGCGCGTCGAGTGGCTGCTGGCCTCGCTCTCCTCCACCGTGACGAGCTCCTGGAGCTTGAGGATGTCCTCGGGGTCCGGCAGCGAGAACCGGCGCGGCCCGTCCTTGTACGCGTTCGTCAGCGTGGAGACGACGCTTCGCCGCTGGCGCGGCTCCTCGACGCGGAAGCTTCGCAGGAGCTCGTGGGCCTCGTGGAGCTCCTTGCGGAGCTTCGCGAGGTCGAGGTGGAGCGCCGCGATCTCGCCCTTTAGAGCGTCGTTCTCGGAGGCCACGTCCGCGCGGTCCTTGCCCGCGGTCGCCAGGTCGGACGCCGTCGCCGCGTGGATGGCCTGCCAGTGGGCGATGCCCGTCTTGTAGGCCATCATGCGCCAGTAGAGGAAGGCCTCCTTCTGGGACACCAAAGTGTCGTGCGCGGCGAGCATCTCGTAGGCCTTGTCGGACGCGACGCGCATCTGCTCGACGCGCTGCTCCGCGCGCTCCGTCGCGACGCCGCAGGCCGTGGCCTTCGCCTCGGCCTTCTTCTGGTTCGCTTCCGCCAACGTCCGCGCGGCCTCGGCGGACTCGCGGCGCATCGTCGCGTTGCGGAGCGCCGCGCGCGCGTCCGCGAGCTGCGCCTCCAGTAGTTCGACGCGCTCGCCCTTGGCCTTGTCGTTCGTCTCGGCGTCGAGGACGCGCGCCTCGAGTTTGGTGACGTGCGCGCGCGACTCGCGCATTTCGGCCAGTAATTCCCGGAGCTGGGAAAACACGACGGCGCCGCCGTCGAGCTGGCCCGCGCGGACCCACCAGGGCGACGAGCTCCGCGTGTAGCGGTGCCGGCCCGCGGCGGCGAGGGCGTGGTGCGCCGACGCCGCCGTCGGCGCCGTCAGGCCCGTGTCCGCGCGCGCGAGCGCGGCGTCGCCGCCGCCGTCGCCCTCGTCTCGCTCCTTCGCGATCTCGTCCACCGTGGCCTTCTCGGCGTCGGCGAGGAGGTCGATGAGCCAGTCGCGCACCTGGCCTTTCGTGGGCGTCTTGCCGCCCTTGCCGCCGTAGCCCCGGGCGCCGTCGCGCGGCAGGTTGAGCCCGACGCCGGGCTCGCGGTGCGGCTTCTTGGGCCGCCGCGCGGGCGCGCTCCGCGGCCGCGTCGGGAACTGGGCGCTCGCGCGGGCCCGCGGCGTCGACGCCTCGTTGGAGCCGCCGGACGACTCGTCCATGGACGGCTGCGACGCGATGCTGCCGGGCACCGACGGCTGCTTCGGCGCCATGCGCATGGCGCCCGCCGAGCGGAACCGCGGCGCCGACGCGCGCGTCGGCGGCGGCGCCGCGGGCTTCGACCGCATGTCCGGCGGCCGCATGAGGTGGTCCGGCGGCGGCACGACGATCTTCGACGCCCGCGGCCGGTAGAACGACATGACGACGAGGGCTGCCCACACCTCGGAGAGATAAATAACAGATTCGACAATTTTGGCCTCGTATCCTTTGGCGGCCTGCACCCAAGCGCTAGTTTTCCACATAACGACGGGAGCTGGCTTTGGTCCAGCGGGGCAGCTTGGCCGCGACCGACTGAGAAGCGCCGCGGGGCTTCGTCGGGCGCCGCGCCGGGGAGCTCGCCACCATGCAGACCCCCGCGGTGATGACGTGGCGCGGCGCGGCGTACGAAACAGGGCGGGGCGCGCGACCGCGCGCGCGCGAGAAAGGAGCGCCCGGAGCGCGCGCGCGGGGGGGGACGTTTTTTTCGACCGGGGGGGGGGCGCGCGCGCCCGCCGTCGCCGCGAAGGAAACAACGTAACGGCGGACCGCGCGCAGGGCGCCCATGCGGCAGGAGGGCGAGGACCGGCCGAGCCCGCGGTCCGCGCACACGCTCGTGATCGCGGGCGAGTTCGCGTACATGTTCGGCGGCTGCGACAAGCGGCGCCCGCCGGGGCCGAACAACGAGCTGTACAAGCTGGACATGAGCGACAAGTCCTTCTTCTACTGGTCGAAGGTGCCCGCGGGCGACGGCGGCGCCGCGCCCGCGCCGCGGTGGCACCACACGGCGCACATGTACAACGACCGCACCATGCTCGTGTTTGGCGGCTTTAGCGCGGACAAGGTGTCGCGCTATTTCAACGACCTCTGGCTCTACGACACGAAGAGCGAGAAGTGGTCCCAGCCGCCGCCCGCGGAGACGGTGCCCGACCAGTCGGGGCTGCCGTCGCTGAAGCGGCCGTGGGCGGGCGTGCCCCAGCCGCGCGGCGCGCACGCGTCGACGCTCGTCGGGTCGGCTTTGATGATCTTCGGCGGCTACGGCGGGTCCGGCTTCTCGCGCCGCGACTTCGCGGACCTGCACAGCCTGGACATGGAGACGATGGAGTGGGAGGAGGTCGAGACGACGGGCGAACCCCCGGAGGCGCGGTCCGGCCACCAGCTGCTGTCCATCGAGGACCGCCAGCTCTACGTGATGGGCGGCTGGAATTCGTCGCGCCAGTTCGACGACGTGCACGTCGTCGATTTAGCGACCAAGGCCTGGTCGCAGCCCGCGATGGCGTCCGGTCCGGACTACTGGGGCCCGCCGCGGTGGAACTTCACGGCCGTCGCGGTCTTCGCGGTGCCCTTCTGGAAGATCTTCGTCTTCGGCGGCAACTCGGGCGATCTGGTGGAGGGCAAGACGCCCACGGGCGAGTACTGCAACGACATCATGGTCTTGGAGTGCGGCGAGAACGTCTGGGTCCGGCCCGAGACCGTCGGCGACATCCCCATCCCGCGGTCCGACAGCCCCATGGCCTACGACGACAAGAAGGGCACCATGGTCCTGTACGGGGGCTGGCGCCACTCCTGGCACGGCGACATGGCCGTCTGCAACGTCGCGGCCGTCGTCGGCCCGCCCTACTCCGTCGAGGACATCTCCCCCACGATCGGCCCCGTCACGGGGTCGACGCTCGTGGAGCTGCGGGGCATGGGCTTCTCCACGGTCAAGGGCGAGGTCACGGTGCGCTACGCCTGCCCCAAGGGCTTCGAGGTCGGCTCCTGCGGCACGGTCATCGACGACCAGACCATCACGTTCGAGACGCCCAACTACGAGCACTACGGCGCCGTCGAGATCGAGTGCCGCGTGTCCATCGGCCCGAAGCCGTTGACGAACTCCAAGGTGAAGATGTCCTACTTCTCCGTGACCGACGCGTCGCAGTGCCTGGCTTTTGGCCCGGGCCTCGTCAACGGCTGCATCGCGGGCAACCCGACGACGATCTGCATCGTCGCCAAGGACGAGCACGGCAACAACCGGTCCTGCGGCATGGACGAGTTCTCCATCCGCATCGAGCCGCCGGCGCAGCCCGACGAGCTCAAGGATTTGGACATCGAGGTCAAGGAGACGAAGCCGGACAAGGACCACGACTTCGACCCGCAGTTCGCGATCGAGCCCGAGTGCACGGACGCGGAGGAATTGAAGGTCCAGGTGGAGCTGTCCGACTCGGGCGACGGCACCTACGTGGCGGCCTTCGCGGCGCCCGTCGTCGGCACCTACACGATCACCATCGAGTTCATGGGCACGTTCGACGGCAAGGCGGGCCCCGTGCGCGGGTCGCCCTTCCAGATGACGTGCGTCGACCGCGACGAGTACATCGAGAAGAACCCGAAGGACATCCGGTTGAGCGAGGGCGAGACGGAGCCGTCCGACGAATTATTATCTTTCAACAACTCCATGGACGGGCCCATCGTCACGAACGACGTGCTCAACAAGATCAAGGAGATCCGCGAGTTCTCGAACAAGAAGAAGCGCGGCCTCCAGAAGCTCGACCCGACGAATTATGATGCGATCGCGCCCCTCATCGAGGGCAAGGAGCATTTGAGAGATATCGAGAAGATGTCGGAGCAGTACGCGCTCTGCATCGACACGACGCGCGTCGCGCTCGCGCATCTCAAGAGCCGGGGCAACCAGGTCGACCGCATGATGGACCAGCTCGGCAAGGCCATCGTCGACTGGACGGAGGTCCTCGCGCTCGTGGAGCCCACGGCGACGGCGATCACGCCGACGACGATCCACTTCGCGAACAAGACCGTCGGCTGGATCGAGGAGTACGAGCAGAAGATCAAGGATTTGGACGAGTCCTTCCGCGGGTCCAAGGTCTTCTCCATGGAGGTGGGCCACGACGACGCGCTCAAGATGCTCGACAAGAACGAGAAGGAGTTCGTCGAGGAGACGAAGATCCTCGAGAAGAACGCGCACCTCTGCGCGGTCTTCGAGTTCCCGGAGAAGATCAACAAGTCGCAGGAGATCCTGCAGACCATGCAGAAGACCGTCGACTTCATGCGCGCGGCCTGGGGCGTGTCCGAGGACATCACGTGCTTCATCACGGACGCCAAGGCGCTGCTCTGGCGCGAGCTCGAGATCGAGGACCTCGAGGACGGCGCGAAGGCGCAGACGAAGAAGCTCAGCGGCCTCAACAAGACCATCCGCTGGTGCCCGCTCTACAAGGACACGTCGCGCGCCATCAAGGACTTCATCAACACGATCCCGCTCATCACCGCGCTGCGGTCCAAGGCCATGCGGCCGCGCCACTGGGACCTGCTCCGGAAGGCGACGGGCAAGGAGTTCACGCCGCCCTACGAGGACGAGGACCTGCAGCTCGGCGGCCTCCTCTCGCTCAACCTCCACGAGTTCAACGCGGACGTCGAGGAGATCTGCGACCAGGCGACGAAGGAGGAGAAGATCGAGGTCAACCTCGAGAGCCTCACGGAGCGGTGGCGCCAGATCGAGTTCCTCGCGGACATGTACAAGGGCACGGAGGTGCCCCTGCTCAAGGTCCAGGAGGAGGACTGGGAGTCCCTGGAGAACGACCAGCTCACGGTCCAGGGCATGATGGCGAGCCGCTACATCGCGCAGTTCGAGAAGGAGGTCGCGAGCTGGCAGGTCGCGCTCGTGACCATCTCCGACGTCTACACGACGATCAACGAGATCCAGCGCACCTGGTCCTACCTCGAGCCCCTCTTCATCCACTCCGACGAGGTGAAGCGCGAGCTGCCCGTCGACGCGGAGCGCTTCGCGGGCATCGACGTCGAGATCAAGGACGTGCTCACGTCCGCGTGGGAGGTGAAGAACATCAAGGAGGCCTGCAACGTCGACGGCCTCCTGTCTCGCCTCGAGGGCGAGCTCGGCGGGCTGGACCTGTGTAAAAAATCGCTGGCCGACTTCCTCGACGGCCGCCGGCGCCAGTTCCCGCGCTACTACTTCACGTCCGAGGCGGACCTGCTCGACATCCTCTCGAACGGCTCGCAGCCGGAGAAGGTCATGATCCACACGTCCAAGATCTACCTCTCCACGAAGACGCTGCGCCTCGACCCCGAGAACCGGACGGCGAGCAACCGCCCCATGGCCGTGGGCTGGGTCGCGGACGTCGGCAAGGAGTACACGCCCTTCGAGCCCGCGGTCCCGCTCGAGGGCAAGGTCGAGATCTACATGCAGACCGTTTTAGACGCCATGAAGTCGACGCTCTTCCAGAATCTCAAGCGGTCCGTGATCCGCTACGCGCAGATGGAGCGCAAGCACTGGGTCATGGCCAAGGACGAGGACGGCGCGCGCCCGGCGGACCCCGCGCAGATCATCTTGCTGACGCTGGCCATCAACTACGTCCAGGAGGTCGAGGAGTCCTTCGAGAAGATCGAGGCGGGCAACGAGGCCGCGCTGGCGGAGTACAACGTCCTCCAGATCGACCAGCTCGGCGATTTGGTGCGCCTCACGCAGGGCGACCTCGACGGCGAGAACCGGACGCGCATCATGGTTTGCATCACCATGGACGCCCACGGCCGCGACATCGTCCAGAAGCTGGTGCGCGAGCGCGTCAACGTCGTGTCCGCCTTCCAGTGGCAGTCCCAGCTCAAGCACAAGTTCCGCGTGCCACCGAGCTACGCGAGCCACATCGGCCGCGACCCGCACCTGCGCTCCGAGTCGGGCCAGCGCGCGGAGATCGCCATCTGCGACGCCATCCTGCCCTACGACTACGAGTACCTGGGCAACGGGCCGCGACTCGTCATCACGCCCCTGACGGACCGCATCTACGTGACGGCGACGCAGGCGCTGAACCTGAAGATGGGCTGCGCGCCCGCGGGCCCCGCGGGCACGGGCAAGACGGAGTCCACGAAGGATTTGGCGTCGGCGTTGGCCAAGTGCTGCTACGTCTTCAACTGCTCGCCGGAGATGGACTACAAGGGCTTGGGCAACATCTTCAAGGGCCTGGGGTCGTCGGGCTCCTGGGGCTGCTTCGACGAGTTCAACCGGTTGATCCCCGAGGTGCTGAGCGTGTGCACGGTCCAGTTCAAGGCCGTCTGCGACGGCATCAAGGCCGAGGCCGCGCGCGTCACCGTCGAGGGCGACGAGGTGTCGCTCGACCCGACGTGCGGCGCGTTCATCACGATGAACCCGGGCTACCTCGGCCGCTCGGAGCTGCCCGAGGGGCTCAAGGCGCTGTTCCGGCCCATGACGGTCATGGTGCCCGACCTCGTGCTCATCTGCGAGAACATGCTCATGGCCCAGGGCTTCGTCGACGCGAAGTCGCTCGCGTCCAAGTTCTACGGCCTCTACTCGCTGCTCAAGGAGCTCCTGTCGAAGCAGCTCCACTACGACTGGGGTTTACGGGCTGTAAAGTCCGTGCTCGTCATCGCGGGGACGATGAAGCGCGCGGACCCGCAGCTGCCGGAGGACTCGATCCTCATGCGCGCGCTCCGCGACTCGAACATTCCCAAGATCGTCAAGGAGGACCAGGTCGTCTTCTTCGGCCTTTTAGGCGACCTCTTCCCGGGCATCAACCCGGAGCGGAAGCGCGACATGAACCTCGAGGACGCCATCGTCAAGGCCTGCGGCGACCTGGGCCTCGACCCGGACGACGAGTTCTGCCTCAAGACGGTGCAACTCGAGGAGCTGCTCGCGATCCGCCACTGCGTCTTCGTCATGGGCCCCGCGGGCGCGGGCAAGTCGCAGTGCTGGCGCACGCTCGCCCAGGCGCGCAAGATCATGGACCCGGAGAAGCTCACGACGATGATCAAGGACGTGAACCCCAAGTCCGTCAAGACCGAGGAGCTCTACGGCTTCATCTCCATGGCCACGCGCGAGTGGCGCGACGGCCTCCTGTCCGTGGTCATGCGCAACCTCGGCCGCATCGAGGACGAGCTGCCCAAGTGGATCCTCCTCGACGGCGACCTCGACGCGAACTGGATCGAGTCCATGAACTCGGTCATGGACGACAACCGCATGCTCACGCTCGCGTCGAACGAGCGCATCCCGCTCAAGCCCCACATGCGCATGATCTTCGAGATCCGCGACCTCAAGCACGCGACGCCGGCGACCGTGTCGCGCGCGGGCATCCTCTACATCTCGACGAACGAGGGCTCGCAGTGGCGGTCGCTCATCGCCGCGTGGATCAAGCAGCGGCCCGAGTCGGAGGAGTGCAAGGAGTGGCTCCGCGAGATCTGCGCGGAGTACGTCGGCGAGTCGCTCGACTGGATGAAGCTGAACATCAAAACCGTGTTGCCCCTCGAGGACATGAACCTCGTGCAGTCGCTCCTCTACATGCTCGCGCTCCTCCTGAAACCGGACAACACGGGCACGCGCGAGGCGCTCGAGATCGTCTTCAACTTCTGCCTGATCTGGGCTTTGGGGTCGCCCCTGGGCCAGAGCGACGACGGCGTCCAGTACCGCGCGCTCCTCTCGGACTACTGGCGGGGCCAGTGGAAGAACGTCAAGTTCCCGACGCGCGGCGCGTCGAACTCCGTCTTCGACTACTATTTGGAGCCCAAGTCGAACCAGTTCGAGCAGTGGAGCAAGAGCCCCTTCTTCTACCACATCGACTTCGACACGGAGAAGATGAACATGGCCCAGATCACCGTGCCCACGGCCGAGACGTGCTCCGTCGCGTTCTGGATGTCCGACATGGTCAAGAACCACCACCCCGTCATGCTCGCGGGCCCGAGCGGCACGGGCAAGACGCAGCAGGTCATGGGCATGCTCAAGGACCAGAACCCGACGGACATCCTCTCCGCGACGATCAACTTCAACTTCTACACGACGTCGGACGTGCTCCAGAACACGATGTGTTTACCGTTAGAGAAGAAGACGGGCACGAACTTCGGCCCGCCGGGCCAGGCCTACCTCGTCTACTTCGTCGACGACCTGAACCTGCCGGAGGTCGACTCCTACAACACGCAGAGCGCCATCGCGCTCCTCCGGCAGCAGATGGAGTACGGCCACATCTACGACATGACGAAGCTCGCGCAGAACCCGGTGAAGAACATCTCCAAGACCCAGGTCGTCGCGTGCATGAACCCGACGGCGGGCTCCTTCGTCATCAACCCGCGCCTCCAGCGCTGGTTCGTGACCTTCGCCATCGGCATGCCGTCGCGGTCGTCGCTCAACGTCATCTACGACACGTTCCTGATGGGCCACCTCAAGGCCGACTTCCCCGCGGAGGTCGCGTCGCTCAAGGACAACATCATCAAGGCGGCGATGAATTTGCACAAGGAGGTCATGGAGAAGTTCCGCAAGACGGCGACGAACTTCCACTACGAGTTCAACATCCGCCACCTCGCGAACGTCTTCCAGGGCCTGCTCGTCGCGCAGGCGGAGCAGATCACGACGGGCGAGAAGCTCGTCCACCTCTGGCTCCACGAGTCGGAGCGCGTCTACGGCGACCGCCTCGTGTCGCCCGAGGACCTGCGCAAGTACAACGACCTCGCCCAGGGCCAGGCGCGCAAGCTCTTCCAGCAGTTTCCCGTGGACAAGTTCTACGCGAAGGAGAACAGCGAGCCCCTCATCTTCTGCCACTTCTGCGAGGACATCGAGGACCCCATCTACGACCAGATCACGGGCATCGACAAGATGCTCCACACGCTCGAGGGCGCGTTGGAGCTCTACAACGAGTCGAACGCGGTCATGGACCTGGTGTTGTTCGAGGACGCGATGAAGCACGTCGCGCGCATCTCGCGCATCGTCCTCAACGAGGGCGGCCACGCGCTGCTCGTGGGCGTCGGCGGCTCGGGCAAGCAGTCGCTGTCGCGCCTCGCCGCCTTCATCTGCCACTACACGGTCACGCAGATCGTCATCTCGTCGTCGTACTCGATCACGGACCTCAAGGACGATTTGAAGGGCATGTACAACAAGGCGGGCCTCAAGGAGGAGGGCGTCATGTTCCTCCTCACGGACTCGCAGATCACGAACGAGCGGTTCCTCATCTACATCAACGACCTGCTCGCGTCGGGCAACATCCCGGATCTGTTCGCCGTCGACGAGGTCGACAACATCGTCAACTCCGTCGCGAACCGCGTCAAGGCCGCGGGCCTCGAGCAGACGCGCGCCAACTGCTGGGACTACTTCATCACGGAGATCCGCCGCAACCTCCACGTCGTCCTCGCCTTCTCGCCCGTCGGCGACGACTTCCGGAACCGGTCTAGAAAGTTCCCCGCGCTCGTCAACTCGACGGTCATCGACTGGTTCCAGCCCTGGCCCGAGGACGCGCTGCTGAGCGTCGGCCAGCGCTTCCTCGAGGAGATCGACGTCGGCACGGCGGCGCACCGCACGGTCATCGAGAAGTTCATGCCCTACTCGTTCATCGAGGTCAACAATCTGGCGAAGCGGTTCCAGTCCGAGGAGCGGCGCCACGTCTACACGACGCCCAAGTCCTTCCTCGAGCTCCTCAAGCTCTACCAGGTGCTGCTCGAACACAAGCGCGAGGACAGCGACAAGAGCATCACGCGCCTCAAGAGCGGCCTCAAGAAGATGCAGGAGACGTCCGACGCGGTCACGGAGATCGAGGCCTCCCTCAAAATCACGCTCGAGGACGCGGAGCAGAAGAAGACCAAGGCCGAGGGCATCTCCGAGGTCGTGTCCAAGGAGAAGGCCATCGTCGAGGTCGAGACCGCGGGCGCGGAGCAGGAGGCGGCCAAGGTCGCGGTCGTGCAGAAGGACGTCGGCGAGAAGCAGCGGTCCACGGCGGAGGATCTGGCCAAGGCCGAGCCCGCCGTCGAGGCCGCCATGGCCGCCCTCGACTCCCTCGACGCCAAGTCGCTGGCCGAGTGCAAGTCCATGATCAAGCCGCCCGCGGGCGTCGACGACATCTTCATCTCGACGATGATCCTCCTCGCGGACATCTACCCGGCCGTGCTCCACAACAAGAAGAAGGTCAAGGACCGCTCCTGGGACGCGGCGAAGAAGCAGTGCCTGGGCAACATCAAGGAGTACATCGAGTACCTCAAGATGATCAAGGTCAAGGTCGACGAGTCCGTGGACCTGACGACGCAGATGAAGGAGATCCGGCCCTATTTGGCGTTGGAGCACTTCAAGGTCGAGATCATCGCGGGCAAGAACTCGGCCGCCGCGGGGTTGACGGCCTTTGTTTTGAACATCGTCACGTACTACGACATCGTCATCACGGTCGAGCCGAAGCGCATCGCGCTCGCCGAGGCGAACGCGCAGCTCGAGGCGGCCAACGCGAAGCTCAAGGCCGTCAACGAGAAGGTCGCGGACCTCCAGTCGAAGCTGGCCATCCTCACGGACAACTTGGACGTCGCCGAGCGCGACAAGCAGGAGGCGCTCGACGCGGTGGAGAAGGGCCAGCGGAAGCTCGACCTCGCGCAGCGCCTCACGTCGGCCCTCGCGTCGGAGAACGAGCGCTGGAAGGAGAGCGTCATCCAGATGGAGGCGTCGAAGAACCTGCTCACGGGCGACGTGCTCCTCGCGTCGTCGTTCATCTCCTACGCGGGGCCCTTCACGAAGTCGTTCCGCGACATCCTGATGCAGGAGAAGTTCTTCGCGTACCTCATCAAGTCCTTCAACGGCGGCGCCGAGGCGCCGGCGGAGGGCGCGCCGGAGATGCCCATGTCGCCGACCTTCGATCCCATCTCCATCCTGACGACGGACGCGGAGATCGCCGTGTGGAATCAAGATTCCTTACCGGCGGACGCGGTGTCGACGGAGAACGGCTCCATCCTGTGCAACACGTCGCGCTGGCCCCTGATCATCGACCCCCAGCTCCAGGGTATTTCGTGGTTGCGGAACAAGGAGTCCGCGCCCGCGCGCAATTTACAGATCGTCCGCCTCGGCCAGAAGGACATGATGCGCAAGCTCGAGCGCGCGCTCGAGAGCGGCCACACGATCCTGATCGAAAATCTCTCGGAGTCATTGGACGCCGTGCTGTCGCCCATCATCCAGCGCGCGACGATCAAGCGCGGCCGCACGCTCTACGTCAAGGTCGGCGACTCGGAGGTCGAGTTCCACCCGAACTTCCGACTGTACCTCCACACGAAGCTGTCGAACCCGCACTACCCGCCGGAGATCCAGGCGGAGACGACGCTCATCAACTTCACGGTGACCCAGGCGGGCCTCAGCGACCAGCTCCTGACCCTGGTGGTGCAGAAGGAGCGCGGGGACCTCGCGGAGCTCGCGGAGTCGCTCATCAAGCAGCAGAACGGCTTCAAGATCAAGATGAAGGAGCTCGAGGATTCCATCTTGGAGAAGCTCGCCAACGCCGAGGGCGACATCACGGAGGACGTGGACCTCATCGAGGGCCTCGAGGAGACGAAGCGCATCTCCATCGACATCAACAAGAAGTCCGCGATCGCCAACGAGACGCAGGCGAACATTCGGATCACGTCCAACAAGTACAAGTCCGTCGCCGACCGGTCGTCCCAGCTCTTCTTCCTCATGAACGACCTGGCGAAGATCCACTCGTACTACGTCTACAGTCTCGCGGCGTTCACGAAGGTCTTCTACCGCGGCATCGACCTGGTGACGGCGAAGAAGGCCGTCGAGGTCAACGAGGACGGCGAGGAGGTGCCCCCCGAGGAGGAGGCCGAGGTCGTGGAGCTGAACGACGAGGAGCTCGCGGCGCGGTGCGTCGTGCTCATGAACTCGATCACGCTCACGACGTTCAACTACATCCGCCGGGGCCTCTTCGAGAAGGACAAGCTCACGATCGCGACCATGGTCACGCTGCGCATCGCCGTCAGCGACGAGGTGCTCTCGGCCGACGACGTCGGCTACCTCTACCTCGGCAAGATCGCGACGGACCCGGGCAACATGGGGCCGCTCCACGAGTGGATGCCCGAGGCCATCTGGCCCAAGGTCAAGGCCCTCGAGGGCCTCAAGCGCTTCAACGGCCTCGGCGACAACATGCACAGCGACTCCGACGAGTGGCTCGCGTGGTTCGACAACGCGACGCCGGAAAACGCGAAGCTGCCGGGCGACTACCAGAAGCTGCTGACGCCCTTCGACCGGTTGATCCTCCTGCGCGCGCTGCGGCCCGACCGCGTGTCGACGGCGCTCCGCCTCTACATCGGCGAGACCATGGGCAACGACTACGTCTTCCAGGCGCCGTTCAACATGCCCGCGACGTACGACGAGACGTCGTCGCAGACGCCCGTCTTCTTCGTGCTCTTCCCCGGCGTCGACCCGACGCCCTGGGTCGAGGACCTCGGCAAGGAGCTGAACATCAGCCAGGACAACGGCCTCTTCTGCAACATCTCCATGGGCCAGGGCCAGGAGAAGCCCGCGGAGGCCGTCCTCGAGCGCTTCGCGAAGACGGGCGGCTGGGTCATGCTCCAGAACTGCCACCTCATGACGTCCTGGGTGCCCCAGCTCGAGCGCCTGCTCGAGGTCGTCCAGGAGTCGGCGCACGACGACTTCCGGTGCTTCATCTCCGCGGAGCCCCCGGGCATGGCGGGCATGAAGAACATGCCCGAGTCGCTGCTCCAGTCCTGCGTCAAGGTGTCCAACGAGGCGCCGGCGGACATCAAGTCGAACCTGACGCGGGCCTGGGACAACTTCAACCAGGGCCGCATCGACGCGTGCACGAAGCCCGACGACTTCAAGAGCTGCCTCTTCTCGCTGTGCTGGTTCCACGCCATCGTCCTGGGCCGGCGCCGCTTCGGCGCCCAGGGCTGGAGCCGCAAGTACTCCTTCAACACGGGCGACCTCGTGATCTGCTCGAACGTGCTCTCGAGCTACCTCGACGCGAACGAGGGCGTGCCCTGGGACGACCTGCGGTACATCTTCGGCGAGATCATGTACGGCGGCCACATCACGGACGCCTGGGACCGGCGGACGTGCAACACGTACCTCCTGGTGCTCATGCTCCCGGCGCTGCGCGAGGGCCTCGAGCTGGGCCCCAAGTTCAAGTCGCCGGACCCGACGACGCTCAACTACGACGACTACCTCACGTACGTCAACGCGGAGCTGCCGGAGGAGAGCCCGCCCCAGTTCGGCCTCCACCCGAACGCGGAGATCGGGTACCTGACGTCGTCGACGGCGGACCTCTTCGCGACGATCATGTCGCTCGGCGGCGGCTCCGGCGGCGGCGGCGGCGACTCGACGAGCATCATCAAGGCGACGATGACGGATTTGAAGGAGCGGTGCCCGGAGGTGCTCGAGATGCTCACGATCGGCCGCAAGGCCGAGCCCCTGCTCGAGGAGCCGGACAAGGGGCCCTACATCGTCTGCGCGCTCCAGGAGTGCCGGCGCATGAACGTGCTCATCGGCGAGATCGGGCGGACGCTCATGGAGCTCGAGAAGGGTTTGGGCGGCCAGCTGAACATGACGCAGGCCATGGAGGACCTGTGCAGCGCCTTCCTCATCAACCAGTGGCCGGGCCGCAACCCCTTCGCGCAGTGCACGTGGGAGAAGAACGCGTGGCCCTCGAAGAAGGGCCTCGTCACGCAGTTCGCGGACATGCTCGCGCGCTACGCGCAGCTCGCCGCCTGGACGGAAGAGCTCGTGACGCCCATCTCCGTCTGGCTCAGCGGCCTCTTCAACCCCATGGCCTACCTCACGGGCGTCACGCAGGTGACGTCGCGCGCGACGGGCCAGCCGCTGGACAAGATGACGCAGGAGACGCACGTGACGACGTACGTGACCCCCGACGCCATCCCCCAGCCCGCCGAGTTCCCCGAGTCCGGCGCCTTCGTCCACGGCCTCTTCATCGAGGGCGCGCGGTGGCCCGTCGGCGACGAGGTCGAGGAGGCCGAGGAGTTCGGCGGCGCGTCCGTCGGCGGCGTGCTCCTCGAGTCGCGGCTCAAGGAGCTCATGCCCCCCATGCCCGTGCTCTACATCAAGGCCGTGCCCGTCCAGGTCACCTGGGAGCCCTCGGCCGTCGGCTACCTGAGGCACGTCGACGATATCTACGAGTGCCCCGTCTTCATCACGACCATGCGCGGGCCCACCTACATCTTCCTCGCCACGCTGAAAACCGCGGAGCCCAAGTCCAAGTGGACGCTCACGGGCACCGCGCTCATGATGCAGACGGACGACTAGGCGCGCGCGCCCCCCCCTCCCGCGCGCGCGCCGACGACCGGGCCGCGCCCCGGCCCCAAGCGCCGTTCCATAAGCCGAGTTGCCTTACTCCGCGAACCGCACGCGATACTCCGTGCGCCACGCCGACGAGTCGGACTTGCCCCGGCGCGGCGGCGCGCGGCCGGCCGCGAGCGCCGGGAGCACGGCGACGGCGGTCCTCGACGGCGCGAGCGTCGAGTCGGCGCTCGCGAAGTAGTGGTCGTAGGACTGGCTGCGGGTCAACGGACTGAAGGGCACCGGCGCCCAGTCCGCGGCCGACGCGGCCGCCGCGCCGGCGCCCTCCTGGAGGATGGGGCAGCGCAGGACGGTGTGCCGCGACGCCAACGAGAGCCGGCTGCCGCGGAGCGCGCCGTGCGGCGTCGGCGCGGGCCGCGGCTTCGGCGGCGGCTGTGCGCGCCCGCGCGGCTTGCCCCAGTAATCGTCCGACGAGAGGAACTTTTTTCTGGGCGCGTTCATCAGGGCGTGGGCCCAGTAGGGGTCGCTGGCGCCGCAGCTCGCGCGCGCGGGACGGCGGCCGTGCGTCTGGGACACGTCGCGCGTGCGCGCGTGCTTTTGGCCACCGCCTCGGCTCAGCATCTGGGCATCCTCTCAGCGCCAGACCATCATGCTGTGGCCTGCTACTAATAAAAGTCAAGAATAACGAACCCAAGCCACCAAACCGCCGGGTGATGGCAGCCCCCCGCGTCTGCCGGGTCGGCGACGCCGTCGAGGCCCTCTGGCCCGAGGACGAGGAGTGGTACAACGCGACGATCGTCGCGGTGGCGCCCGACGGCCGCCTGTCGCTGGCCTACGAGGACGGCGACTTCCGCGACGACGGCCTGCCGTCGGAGGTGCGCCACCTCGCGCCCGAGGCGCCCGTCGCGCCCATCGCGGTCGCCGGCGGCGACGACGACGACGGCCTCGGCGACATCCTGGACGGCATCCTCGACGCGCCGACGCCGAGCGGCGCCGTCGTGCCGCCCGCGCCGCTGGGGCCCGCGCCGGAGTCGGAGGCGCTGCGGAAGCTGTCGTCGCAGCTCGACGACGGCCTCGGCGACCTGCTGGACGGGCTCCTCGACGGCGACGGCTCGCCGCGGCCGGAGCCGCCCGCGCCCGCGCCCGAGGAGGCGGACGACGACGACGACGACTACGACGACGACTACGAGGACGCGTTCGAGGAGCCCGAGACGCCGCTCCGCGACGGCTCCTCGACGCCGCTCCGCGAGGCGCCGCCGCCCGAGGCGCCCGCGGAGCGGCCCGCCGCCGCGGCGCCCGCCGCGGCCGCGGCGCTCGACGACGACTTCGGCGACATGCTCGACGGCATCCTCGACGACGACGACGGCGGCGACGACGGCCGGGGAGCGGCGACGAAGCTCCAGGCGCGGATCCGCGGCCGCCGGGGGCGCCGGACCGTGCACGAGAAGCGCCGCGAGCACAAGCAGACCCACGGCGCCGCGACGGCCCTGCAGGCGCGCATCCGCGGCCGGAAGGGCCGCCGGACCGTGCTGGAGCAGCGCGGGGGCTTCAAGGCGCGCGCTGCGCCGCGGAGCCCGGAGAACGTGCCGCGGCTGCT